ACTTCTACTACTACTACTACTACTACTACTACTACTACTACTACTACTACTACTACTACTACTACTACTACTACTGCTGCTGCTGCTGCTACTACTACTATTTCTACTACTACTACTACTACTACTACTACTACTACTACTACTACTACTACTACTGCTGCTGCTGCTGCTGCTGCTACTACTACTACTACCACTATTACCACTACTACTACTGCTACTAAGATAATGACAAGGACAAAATCCACAACCATTACTACTGTAGCTGCTGTTACTATGGTTAAATAGTGATATGACCTAACTACTTCAACCACTGCACGTGCTGCTGCTAATATAACCATACTAGTACTACTATTTAATCAACAGCTGCCACTACTAATACTACAACCACCACTATTAAAACTGCTGTTATTTGAACAAAGAAGACACCGACAATAGATTGCACAGTTTTGTACAAATGTGTGCAAACAAAAAGACATAGTCATGAATCTGCACTTGCCTTATGAAAGGGGGCAGTTACTTTGAGAGTAGTTGATTTTGTCTTTCAGCTGTCACCGTATTGGTTCTGGGACCATTATCATTATTATTATTATTATTTTTATTATTATTACTATTACTATTACTACTACTATTATTATTATTATTATTATTATTATTATTATTATTGCTGCACTATGACAGCTGCTTGGAGTAAAATTGCTAGCAAACTTTCCAGTCGTCTAGTGGTCATCAGTTCGAATTTGCATTAGGCCAGATTTCATTAAAAAATGATTAGGGCTTCTCAGTTTCATCCTCAGCATCAAGTTCCTTGCTGAGTGGCGTGGGCGATCATGCCTGTCAACAATCTATTATCTTAAACAGCATTATCAGTTTGTGTCCTAACACTCCTCCATAGCATCACAAAAGGATGGCAAGAATCTGCTCGCATTGTCTTCCTCTGCCTCTTTATCCACACATCTTTCCAGTTGTTAGATGTTCCAGTTTTCATCTACTCATAATAGGACCAAACAATGATTACGGTCTCTTTCTTATATTTGTAATAATTTGTCTCTCTTTCAGAAACATCTGAGTTGTTATTATTGGCTGTTCAATAATTATTAAGAATTTTCTTTTGTGTTTGTTATATTGTGAAGCTCGCTGATCTACTTTTCATTCACTTTTATATCTTTCCATAAAAATGTTTCTGTAAAATCCAGTTCTTACCATAAGAATTTTCTGTAAAAAATGACTTTGGCTCCCAAGTTGACCCAGCCTTAAATGGGTACCAGGTAAAGTCCTGGAAATAAAGGCGGCTGGTGAGATGTTAACCATATCAATTACTGATTGTTCTATTAAAAAAAATAAGTCTAGCCCAATATGCATGAAGGCCTTGAAGAAGGTTCTTTACCTACCTTACTTTATACTTGTTCACACGTTACACTGCTTCTGTACTTTTTTTCTCCCTGCATCAGGTTCGCATCATTGACTGCCCCTATATCCCCTATTTTCCGGTCAACTCGCTTTATGAGTGGACAGACTTCAGAGGCTATGGTTTGAGAAATGCCACAGCCTACGTGCTGGTGTATGACATCACATCAGAGGAGAGCTTTGAGGTAGGTGTGATGATGACTATCACTCATCCAGTTTAACTTGGTCTATGACGTCATGTCAGAGGAAAGTTCTGAGGTAGGTGTGATGGTGACCACCATCCATCCAGTTTCACTTGGTCTATGATGCTGGAACCTGGCGCGCAAGTCCCCTAAGACCCCCCCCCCCCCCCACCCCCTGTCCCCATTTCATAATTTTAGTGTGAATATGGAAGGATGAGCCCCAAGAATTTTGTTACTAAAAGGGCCATTTGACCATTTAATGAAATCCTCTTTAAAAGTCTGTGTTCTAACTTTCGTATTATTTAAGGAACAGTATTATATTTTTTTTTTGTTATTTAGAACATTAATAAAATTCAGGATGTGTATACTGTGCTAAATAAACAAATGAGTGTAATAATATATTTGAAAAATCATGAAATGTATAAATAAATACTTTAAAAGATAATTTATATACATGGTTAAACAAAATTATGGTGGTGTGGTGTGGGGGGAGGTGACTTTAGCAGGCTTCAGGTATTTTGAGGAGGGTTGTACTCCACTCCCTGTCAGCTCATCCTGGAAATACAGCCATGAGCCTGAAGACACCAACATTTGCTGCTGTATTAGAGGATGGAGTGCGAATTGGTTGGACACTGGTCTGATTAATAATATGATGTCAGTACGGACAACAAGTAAGATGACGACAAATTTTAAATATATTTTATAAAACCTATTTGTATATCAACTTTTTTAATTTGTTACATTGTGAGAGAATATGGTAGATTGTTCTATATTTATTTCTACTGATATTTGTCCTTAATACATCAAAAGTTGTGGTAACTGTCATTGGTGCATCAATAGTTGTGATATTTCTTTGTTGTACATCAAACGTAATATTTCCTTGCAGTACATCAGAAGTTGTGATATTTGTCTATAATACATTAAAATTGATCACAATCGAACTTTTGGTAAACAAAAAAAAATTGTCACAGCATTTTCTTTTATTAAATAAATGTTGTGATATATGTTTTTAGTACATCAAAGGTTGTGATATTTGCCTGTAGTGCATCAAAAGTTGTGATATGTGTCTGTAATGCATCAAAAGTTGTTATATTTGTCTGTAGTATATCAAAAGTTGTGATATTTGTATGTAATACATCAAAAGTTGTGATATGTGTAGTACATCAAAAATTGTGATATTTATATGTGATACATCAAAAGTTGTGATATTTGCCTGTAGTACATCAAAAGTTGTAATATTTGCCAGTAGTACTTCAAAAGTTGTGATATTTGCCAATAGTACATAAAAAGTTGTGATATTTGCCAATAGTACATCAAAAGTTGTGATATTTGCCAATAGTACATCAAAAGTTGTGATATTTGTCTGTAGTTTATCAAAAGTTATGATATTTGTCTGTAGTATATTTAACTAAAAAGTTGTGATATTTGCCAATAGTACATCAAAAGTTGTGATATTTGCCTGTAGTACATCAAAAGTTGTGATATTTGCCAGTAGTACATCAAAAGTTGTGATATTTGCCAATAGTACATCAAAAGTTGTGATATTTGTCTGTAGTATATCAAAACTTTGAGGCTTCAAATACTGGAGTCCAGAAACAGACACGATGTCCCAATTTTTGTGGTTGGAAACAAGCATGATCTGGCTGAGGAGAGAGGTGTACCCAGGAGGGAAGTCAGAGAGGTCAGTAACAGTGTTTCCTTCTAATTTAATTTTTTTTTTTTAAAGTTTGCAGATGCAACAATGGTTTTCATGATTGACCATGATTGACCATTTGTGCTAAAGTGAGGCACAGTTCTAGTCAGGGACTGTTAGTGTTGACAGATCTGACAGCTGCCTTATGCGTGTTTTTTTACATTGCATATGCAAGGTTCAAGATTTTGCAAGGACTTTTTTTTTTCACTAGTTTTCAGTTGGGACAGTGAAAGACATTTTGTCTGATTTCGACTGGCACAGAAACAGAGCAGTTATGTGGTGACCTGTCTGAACAGACTTTCGGACCTCCACTAAGGACTTGGAAAACAGCAACAGCAACATCATTAACATGTAGCAGGTCCTTTGCAGAACGTGGCTATCATCACTGCCTGCCTGAAAGAAACTTGGTCTCTCGCCAGCTCTCCCACCTCATGTACTTTCATATTCAAGGAGTCACTTATATGCTGTGCAATCTTCGTGTTGTACGGCCCCTGCCCCTACTCCCTGGTACCATGCCTTCTGCTGTTATTTTTTCCAGTCTGCCATGCCACTTGATATGGCCAGAATATTTCAGCTTCTGAAACTGTTGGCTGTTTATTAGCCAATCTTCCTTGATGTGCATCTTTTTCAAAATGTCAGTATTTCTTCTCGTTATGTCCATGGTATTTTAAGTTTCTTTCAAAAGCATTTCAGCTCAAAGGCCCCTAGTTTCTTTCTTAAGGACTGGGAGATAGTCCACAACAACAACAACAACAACAACAACAACAACAACAACAACAACAAAGTTATTTTCAAACTTTTTTCACGCTGGGCACATTATGCTAGACTCATGTTTGTAGATATCATTGGGTTTGGCAGGTGATTTGGTCAACATCATAAAGGCTGCTTTTATTTCCAAAACATTTCCTGGTACCTACCATATTCCCCCCAAGTATACGATGACCCCATGTATAAGACATACCATGATTTTGGGAGCTGAAATTTTAAAGAAACAAATTATATGAATAGCATAAAGATCTACTTTCATTCTACAAGACACACACCGTTTTTAAATTTTATATTTTGGGAAATAAGTGGGTCTTATTCTTGAAGAAATATGGAATTTTAAACTGGATCAGTCTATACCAAAACAAGTTTTTTAAATTTTTTTTTAAATGTTCCCACTGCAGTATTGAACCCAAGATCTTTGTTTCAGCAGGCAAGTATTTAACAACTACTCTGCCACAGCTGTCCTAATTGTACAGTGTAAAATTTAGTGTAATTGTAGGTAATTACATGAATAGGACAAAGTTCTCAAACTTTGAGCTATGATTAGATCAGTGATGGCTTGATAGTTTCTGCAATGTTGGCATGGGGATTTTAGTTGCAGCTCATTTATTATTCTGTTCTTGCATAATTTTATCTCAGATAAGAATATAGACCCCCCCCCCCCCACCCCTCCCCCCCACCCCCAAACCGCCTTTCCCTGCCCTCAAAAACAAAGCAAAAAAATTATTTCTTGTAACAAACATATTTTGGTCTCATTTTTCCTCCAGATATCTAACTTGGTGAAGAAACAGTGGAAATGTGGTTACATAGAATGCTCAGCAAAGTACAACTGGCACATCATGCTACTGTTCAAAGAGTTGATGAAGACAGTGGACTACATTGACTATGGGCACAAGCCCACGTCCATGCGTGTGCAGGATGCTTTGAGAAGGAACCGATGTCTGATATTGTGACCTAACAGTCTGACTATGCAAGTGAATCATGTCACTTTCTAACATCAGTAACAGTCATTGCTAGCTAGTGTGAATTTTTAATGATTGTCTTGTTTTAAAATATTGCCGTTCCTATTTTTGTAATCACCATCTGTGGAGTTATTGCAACATATATTGCTTTAGTGTCTCTTATTTTGGGTACTGTTTTCTACACTACAGTTATGTTCACAATAGAATCTACTGCTTGAATTGCTAACAGTATTAGGATGAGGCACTTGGGTATCAGGAAATGACATCATACATTCATACTGCCACTGTTAAGAAACACAAGCTGAACCAAAAATATTTGTTCTTCTTCTTCTTCTTCTTGGCAGTAAACTCTGGTGAAAAGTTCTGCTTGTCATTCTTCAGTAGTTAACGCCATTATATTGAAATCAATTGCTTAAAGCACTGGTATAAAGCAGTGATAATCTAAGCTAAGGGTTAAGTGGTGCTTAAAGCATACGTAATACACAAAAAATTGATGTCAGAAAGTCTACTTCATTAAACATACACCCTATACAAAGATGGAACTTAGGTTTCATTTATATATTTGGCTCAAGCATTGACTCCTAGCTCTTTTGGTTCCAGAAATCAGTTAAATTAGTTATAAATCACTGCAGATGTATTCCATAGCACCCAAAGAGTTAAGTGGTCGAGCCATTTGACTCACACTAGGAATATCATGGGCTCCTTTTTACAAATGCATTTGGTTGATTCATCATCATCATCATCATCATGGATCAGCTGGTCCTTTATAGAACATTACTCTCCTGATGGCACGCCTAAAAGTATCTTCAGTTGACCAGCATCTTCCCAGTGCTGTCATTGCAAATGCATCTGCATTGTCATGTAACTTTCTTTGAGGAGACTGGCCTCTGGCGTCTGTCTCATTTTCTGGAAACTGTACACTCCATCGCTGTTCCCTCTAGGCAGCCATGACACTTAACATGGCCACAATACATCAGCTTTCAGGACAGGATGTAATTTATAAGCCAAATTTTTCAATTCATTAGTGCAGATTTTTTGTTGTTGGGGTAATAGCATTAAAAGTCTGTGGTTCAGCACCAGCAAGGAAATTAAAATTAAAGTTCTTAGAGCATGCATCTTCCCTGTAGCAATATACAGATGTGAGTTGTGAACTATCTCACAGTTCCATCTTCCCTGTAGCAACATATGGATGTGAGTCACGGATATCTCAGAGTCCCATCTTCCCTGTAACAACATACGGATGTAAGTGGTGGACTGTCTCCTAGTCCTTAAGAAAGAAAACATGGGGCTTTTGGGCTGGAATGCTATAGAAAGATTTTCAGAATACCATGAACAAAGAAAAGAAATACTGACATTTTAAAAGAACTGAACATTCAGGATGATTGGTTGGTAAACAGCATCTTGCCTCGGAAGCGGAAATATTTTGGTCATTTCAAGAGCCATGGCCAACTGGAAAAAATACTACCAGAAGGCATGGTACCAGGAAGGAGGGGCAGGGGCCGACAAACACAAAGATAGGCACATGATATAAGTGACTCCTTGAATATGGAAGTACAGGAGGGGGAAGAGCTGACAAGAGACCAAGTTTACTTTAAGGCAGACTGTGATGAGAGCGACATTCTGCAAAGAACATGCTTCATGATGATGATGATGAGTGAAGATTTTACACAAATCCCTGGGGATCATTACTGGAACTTCAGAGTTGGTGCTTTGTGTGACACCATTTTTCAGGTTAGCCATTGTGATGAGAGGCTGAGTTATATATGGGATAACCTGATTCAGTGAAGTGGATGCTCCTGACATAAACTCTTTGAGTAGCAGACTGTTGCTGTAACTCTTTATATGCCAGGTGGCTGTTACTGTAACTCTTTATATGCCAGGTGGCTCTTATTGTAACTCTTTATATGCCAGGTGGCTGCTCCTGTAACTCTTCATATGCCAGCTGACTGTTAATTTAGCTCTTTATATGCCAGTGATTTACTAAGGGGGCAATAGGGATAATATCAAAATTATTGATGACCTACTACACAAAATTTCAAATGGTCAGATTTCCGAACCAATACACAAATAAGGCAAGAATCCAGGCAAGAGTATGTGTCTAATTTTATACGAAAACGCCGCTGGAACTATGTCGGCCACGCCTTTAGAATGGATAAATCAAGACTTCCTTACCAAGCCCTCATTTGGACACCACAGGGGAAAAGATCTCGTGGAAGACCAAGGGAAACCCTACGTAGAACTATCATCAGGGAAGGCTCGCTCATGGGCCACTCAAACATCCAAGACCTACAACGGATTGCAACGGACCGCCGTGCATGGAGAGTCACGACCTCTGCCCTATGTGCCGCACTCGACACAAGAGGAAAGACTAACTAACTAACTAACTACCACATGAACCAAATACATATCCTTGTAAGAAACAAATATATTATCAGTTCCTCAGAATCCGTGACTGAATATACAGATGTGATAATTTATAAATATGATGATACATATATATACACACATATACATTTATATATATATATAGGAAATCATTTTCAGTTAAATGCAACCCCCCCCCCCCCCCCCCCCCCCCTTCCTTTTTTTTTTTCCCCTGAAAAAAAAATGCCTGAGGAAATTGATGACAATTAAATAGGATATATTCAGGAAAGGACAAAGAAATAAGAAAAAGGTCTGAAAAGACACATGTTTTAGTTATGAGACTTGACGATGGTAATTTTTTGGGCACATCACAAGAAGAATCAGACAGAATCACCAAAGAGAACTCTAGTGGGAAACAAATGGATTGATATATTCTTTGTTTTTAAAGTTTCTATTGCTGTTTGTGCATCTTTTTTTTTTCCCTAAGATTCCTGATTGCATTTTTTATTTTAAAGGTGAGATGGCAATGATTACACAGAGTTTTATCCGATCTACTCATTCTCTTTTTAGAGATTCTGTTGAGAATGTTAAATATTAAATGTCAAGTAAGTGCTCTGTGCCCATCTTCAGCATAGAGTTTTGATTCCATTGATACCAGTAACAGTCTGATGGTACATCCATCTCAGCTTTTCTTTGAGTGTGGAGCGTCGGCCAGATCCTTTGGTCACTCCGCCCAGCACCAGTCTCCTCAGACCATGGTCATCTATTTATGCATCTTCCCTGTTCACTCACTAACAAAGAACCCTCAAATCTAGCTTGTCACGCATCAGTTCCCCATTCAGTGGAGCAGAACCAGTCTGTGCCTGTTCACTTCCCAACTGTAGTAGACAGACAGCGGGTCCATTTTGTGTCAGCCATTGAAGATTGGCCTACTTAAGTGTTATACAGTGCTAACATCCATTGTTGAATCTCCATAAACATTCTTCAAATGTTCGTGGACATGAGTTGAGGTCTTAAATGATATTTTAAAACCATTACAGCAGTGACACCTGTGGCTGAAACAGGCTGGTAATGCTGCCCAGTGCAAAAGAGTGTATGAGGAATCCTGCAAAATTTGAAAATTGCACATTGATACAGTATTTACATCGATACAAAATCGGAGCTATTATATTTTGAATGGTTTTCGTAACCTAATTATCTTGTGTTTCCTATGTACTTTTTATTTGTAACATTCCAAATGAAAAAGAGATAATCTAGTTGTGATGTGATTTTTGTAAAATGAAATCTAGTTTGTTTTTTTGTGTTTACCTCAACCTTCTCAATAACATTTTATGCTTATAAACACTAGTTCTCCTTCTTCTTCTTCTCATCCGCGTTCACCGGTTTTAAACTCTGGCAGAAAGTTCTGGTTGTTCATCCACCTCTGAACTCTAGTCTTGTTGCAGAACCTGAGTATTGCATGCACATACGTTTTACAGATCTGGCTTATTTGTATACAGGAAATTGGTTCTTGCCTCTCAGCGGAGATGACTGTGACTTTGAAGGATGCCCTTCTCCCCTGTTAGTCAACTCCTATGACCTGTTTGCTTGGGAGGCAGTGGGTCTATTCTTGTTTTCCCTACAATGGGGCCCTGGAACCCCATGGGGAACACTAGTTCTATCTGATAATTCAAGTAAACATAATCAGGAGAACATGAGGAAACTCTCTCCCTGTGTTGAACCAGTTAAAGGGAAACTAATATAAATAATTCCTTCAAAGAACCATAACTGTTGCATCTACTTCAAATTCTTTGACATATGTGAGCTAGACGTTTATAGAAAGTAACATCATTGTGTGAAACAGATGAAGTTAATAGATATAACAATTTAAATAAACTATCGAGTAGTGTGTTTCATGTGAATTTGCAATATCTATCAAATATCTATGGTTTAAGCTCCAGGAAAGCTTTTACAATGTTTAAGTTAAAGTGATGAAGCCATCTAGAGTCTCAAAAGACAAATAAGTGCCAAAACACACATACATACACACACTCACATGTGTGTGAACACGTGTGTATATGTGTGTGTGTGTTTGAAGACAGCACTTAAGTGATTAATTTAAAGCAGACACAGCATGGTAAAGATGCTTTGGAGTCTGTTCAGCTTTAGAGAAGCTTGGGAAAAGGGGGGGTGGGGACAACAAAATTTCATCATTCCATTGTCGAGATCGATCTGTCAACTGTGTGAGCGAAAATAATTCATGACTGAATGTGTGGCGTAGCGTTGGTGTATTATTATTATTGCCTCAGTAAATGCCATCTTGCATTTTACAATACTCACCTTATTGGGGCCAATTTCTCCACAGTCAGATTTTAACATATTCATTCCGTATATTTAGAAAAAAAAGAATCTCAAGTATTATTGTACTAATATACACTCATCATGTTTTACATGTTGTATAAATTTAAGCTAAATGTGTATAGTCTTTGTTTATGGTTATATATGTATGCAGTGTGAGTTTATGTTGTTGGACTAGATTTTCTGTGACTCATAGAAAGCCTATGGAGGTTATTGCATCAACGCTGCAGAACTGCAGCGCCCCCTTGTTTTCACTAGATTTTATCGGTAATATATAATATCGATAATAT